AATGTTGATGAAAAACACGTAACATATAAAAGACCCGTTGGATTAAAAGAAGAAAGATTGCCGGCTAGCGTAACAGTTAGGTATTTATATCAGCCTGGTGAATATGAGGGTGGAAATAGCCAGCGAGCTACAGATCCTAATTGGTCTTTGGATACTTTTAATATAGATAAAACTGTTTTTGCGGAGAATCAGCCGGTTTTATATTATTTATCAGAAGGCGCCCCGAAAAGGAATTTCGTTAGAGAAGAATTGCAGGTTGTGACGGATACTCAACTACCTCCAGAAAATGCGATGTAACCAATAGCATTAGTATGAATTCTATCTTCTAATACGATTCTCTTGTCATCTTCAGCAGATAAAGCCACTTTATTAATCGTCTCGGCGTAAATTTGATGCCCTTCAGATCTTAGTACGTTCATTTTCCGCATTTGCGATCTCCCAGTGAATAGACAATCTTTATAATCTTCAAAAGAAATAGAATCTTTCACGACAGACTTCTTAACCCCCTTACATTTCTTTTCGACATATTCAACTGTTTTATAAGCATATAACTTCGCCCGCAGACCAACAAATTCTGTAATTTCATTTCCTGATGTTTCATCTTTCATAAGGCCAATAACCTTTTTATTAATTTTTTTATCAATAATTGGGTGATTAACATAAGCTGAAGTATCAAATTTTGCTTCTAGATCAGCATAGATGTCTTTATAAAAGTCATCAGTTTTTATCTCGTATAGAAGGCTATCAGTATCCGTGAAACATAATTCAGCTCTATTTCCATATTTAGGCTTTATGTAGTTGTAATGAAAATCGTACATCAACGACTTAGAAATATCAAGAATAGACATGCCCACGTAAATAGGTTTATTAAATTTAAGATGGGTTTTCCCCATATGAACCGCTATTAAATTCTCAGAGAATATTGTTCTTCTTTTAAAGTTRGGCTTCGAAGTTAATTTCTTTAGCTGATCTTTTCGAGTTGCAAGTCTAATATCTTGACGGTTTCTAATATTCTCCATCGTCTTACCGAAGACGCTGTTATTCATCAGCTTGAAGAAATCTTTCTCGAAATCGTTATCCGCTTTAGTTCGTAGATCTGTATTYAATTTAAYATATTCAGCCATCCAGTTTTCTTCTATAAATGTAATACCCCTATGAATTTTTGTAATTCTTATCCCTAGAGATAAATATAATTTCATAATATGGTGATGAACTACATATTTCTCCTTATTATTTAAGTTTGGTATTAATTTTCCTAATAAATCCTCTGGCGCCATAGGATATTCATTATGAAGGTCATGTAATTCATTTGGATATTCCAAATCCACTTCTAGAATACATGGATGCCTTTGCCAGAATTTAATTTCTTGTTTATTCATCCACTTGAATTTACTAACCGGCAGTGGCTTGCTCATTGCCCAGCCATATAAATTATTAGCATCCAGATACTTCAAATAAATAGATTCTTTTTCAGGATCATAATCTTTCATATATTTGTTATTCGCCTTTGAATATCTTTTCGTAATCATACTGACTCCGCCTCGAATTCCTTTTTCGATCATTAAAACCATGTCAGGATCCGATAACAATTCTAATTCTATTTTTGTTAATTTCAGCAACGCATCCCAGGCCAGCCCCGGAGCTGTGTAATACCAAAGTGGATCTAGTTTGTAATTCTTAAGACAAACGTCTCTGAAAGTTTCAAATACATCAGCTAGCAATAAAACATCGCAATCGAGATATAAATCATGATACTCTTTCATATTCTTTATTTCAAATTCACGCCAGACTTTCTGTGCGTGTTCGTAATCGGAATTTGAAATATGTTTGTTATTTAATTTACTGTAAAATTCTTCTTTAGGCGGCAAGCATTCATCTTTTAGCTTATCTTCTGAATCAAAATAATCATAAGGGAATACACCTTTTCTTACTAATAATTCAATATCATCATACATCCACTTCATATTTTTGAAATTCTCATTTTTTAGATTTCCCACCAGCCTGTCCAGCCCGGCCGCCATGAATTTGAAAGAGTCGATGAATCTGATTTCTCTTTTAATTTCAAANNCCCTTTAATAGCAGTTGCCTTCTTTTTAATTCCAGAATTTCTAGTATAGATTTCAGTTAAATCATTTCTACTAAGACTGGTAATTGCATCCGTAAGCAGTTGGTATTCATCATTCACGCGACTCATTATATATAATAGATATAAAACTTATTCACAATACGCGAACAGTTATTAAAATAGACGCTCTAGTATTAATTCTCATAGTAGTGGTAAATTTTGACCCAAAAGCGCGTTTTTAACCAAAAATCGGGGCGTTAGAAAAGGATTAAAAGGGGTTTAAAAAAGTCGCCAGTTTCGGCCTTTTACCACTACTCTTTGATTCCTTGAAGATAGAGCACTTTTTAAAAAGTTTAAAAGGTTTTAACACGTGAAAAAAATCCACCACCATGATTCTTGTTAATCGGTTGTTATGTGAAGATACAATTCCAATCCAAACATCAATATATTTTGATGTTTTTATGTCATAAATTCTGGTATAACTCACTGCTTGAGGCATGAACGATCATCGCGTGTTCTCAATACTACAGTTGGCAGTTACATGGATTCCTGCCAATCACCTGTCACGGCATGTCAATGTAAACCAATCATAGACAAAGTTAACTCTCGGGCAGTAAAAAAATACCACAGCCACATAAAATTACTACAAAATATACTAAAAAACAAAACAAAACAAAACAAACAAAACATACTTAGAAGAATTTAATACAGCAAATTGAAAAATAAATTCATTAATTAAGTTTTTAATGGTTTTGATATTTTAAAGACATTGTCTTATATTATTAATTTTAACAAATCAATTTTACAGGGATGATCCTAGAGTTATTATAAAAATGGAGGATGGTTCTTTTGCTTTTTTATCTAAGCCTCCCAAGAGAAAAAAGGAGACAGATTTCGAGAAATGTGTGATATGCCAATCAAACAGTGACCAGAATTTACGACAAGCTAAAGAAAGTTCGATATCTAAACTTACCTCTGCCTGTGAGATCCGTCAAGATGACGTTTTCCATCGTATCTCTGGTGTTGAGTTGAAAGAAAAAAAAGTATTATGGCACTCTTCTTGTTATGAATGTTACACAAGCAAAGAAAATCTTCGATACGTCAGTAACACGGCAGCTGGATTGAAGCTCCAACCTAATTGTATCGAACCTGAATTTCGACCTCAACGCATACCATTTGAATGGCAATTGAAATGCATATTTTGCAAACAAGTATCGCGAAAAAAAGATAAAAATCTGATAAAAATCATTACACCTAACGGTTCTCAGAGTATCAGGCAGGCAATAAAAGATAGAGGAGATGTTGAATTACTGGCTTTCCTCGAGAGCGTGGATTTAATCGCAGTTAGTGCTAGATACCACAAGGACTGTCATGCTTCTTACACAAGCACAAAAAACATCAGAAGTCGTCAATATCCTGCAAAGTCAACATTTCAACAAGATGTATTTGGTGAGTCTTTTGAGGAATTTCTTGAAGGATTCAAGCCCGCTATAGATGCTGGGAAGGCGTTAGATATGAACTCACTCCTTCAAAGTTACCGAGAGTGTCTACAGAGACGAGGGATTGATGGTTCCAGTTACACAAGACAGAAGCTCAAAGATCGTTTAAAAGTTGTTTTCAAGGACAGTCTAGTATTCCACCAGCCTTTTGGTCCTTCTAAACCAGAAATCGTATTTTCTGCGTCAATCTCTCTTTTGGATGTCATCAATGCAGCTGCATCTTCTACCCAAGTCAACACAGAAACTACGTTTACTTCATGTACAAGCCATGACACACTAGAAGACCTGTATTTCGTAGCACTGCATCTAAGAAAAGAAATCCAAAAATGTAAAGGAATAGACATCCTGCCTCTCAACTTAACAAATTTGAATCTCCAAACATCTAAATCTCTACTACCAAAACCCCTCTACTGGCTACTTCGATGGATAGTAACTGGTGAAGAATTTGGATTTAGCCAAGAATCATGTTTAAATGAGTCTGACGAGCGTAAGGTCATCATGATGGCTCAAGACATAATCCACTCATCTAGTCACGCCCGTGTAAAGCTGCCAAAACAAGTGGGTCTTGCCATGACAGTCAAACATCTAACTGGTAGCAAACAGCTTATCACCTTATTGAATCGAATGGGACAATGTTCTTCTTACGATGAAACAGAACAGGTGGAAACAAGTCTTGCCAATGAAACTCTGGCAAGAGCTGCAGCTGACGGTGTCATTATACCATCCAACATCACTCAAGGCTCTTTTATTCACATGGCAGCTGATAATAACGACATCAACGAGGAAACACTAGATGGCAAGAATACCACACATGGCACAACAATTGTTGTCTACCAACGGAATGAAAACCATGAACCATCTCAAAGAACCATCTACGCAGACCACTCTAAAAAACGACGCTCACTAACTCCCGATGCTAATCTTATCAACATCGAAGAGATAACAGTGAGAGGAAGACGTCCCGCTATAGCCGATTTCGTCCAGAAGATCAACATGGACTGGTTTATTACTAGCAATCAGGTACTATTGACTGGGATCAGTGACCTTGCATGGTTATTTCTGAGAATGTCAGATAGTGAGTTTCTTGCAGGAGCAGATGTGCAATCACACGTACAGGTAATCCCAAGTTGGAGTGCTTTCAATTCCGTCACTTACCCAGAAGAGCCTGTAAAAACAAGTATTGGTTACTTACCAATGATAAATGCAGAAGCAAGCGATTTCAGTACTCTATACACCGCCATGAAACTTTCTCAGAATGTCTCCAACAAGGTTGGACAATTAGACTCTGTTCTAACTCTTGATCTGGCGCTACTACTCGAAGGCAAGACAGTTACAAGCGTCTTTGCCAGAAGATCTGAAGAGCATTGTTATCAGATTGGGCGGTTTCCACATCGCGCTTAACTATCTAGCACTAATTGGAAAGAAGTATGCTGACTCTGGCCTAGAAGATATTTTGGTAGAGTCCGGAGTATATGCAGCCGGTACCACGACATCCTTACTTCAAGGCAAGTCCTACAACAGAGGTATTCGCGCCCATAAACTGGTTATGGAAGCACTTTTCCGTATGCTCTGGAAAGCCTTTGTAGCCTGGCTCTCTTCACAGACGAAAAGTCAGTTCCCTTCATCCGAGATGTCCTCTAAATTGCAGCAATGCCGACATGCTTTTAAAGGTGCCAATTTCAACCAGCGGTGGGACGTTCTTGTGAAATTCATGAAGAGAAACATGACACTGTTCTTCAGTTTTGTTTCGGAGGCCAAAGCAAAGTCCAAGGTCTTCTGCTTTTGGATGGAGTATATTTCTGTCGTCCTTCTTCTACTCCAGTTTGTCAAAGCTGAACGTATTGGTGATTGGCAGTTACATCTGTCTTCTACTGCTCCAATGGTCCCATACTTCTATTCGATGAATAGAATGAATTACTCACGATGGCTACCTGTCTATTTAGCCGATATGAACATGCTTCAAACTACCCACCCTGCTGTTCATGAAGAGTTCTTGAATGGAAACCACAGCGTAAGTCATGGAAGAAATCGCTTTTCACAAGTATGGTCTGACATGGCATTGGAACAGTCAATCAACCTCGACAGTAAGTCCAAAGGTGGAATAATTGGCACAAGCACTAGAGAACATGCCGTAGAAAGATGGTTTTTAACTGCTCACGAGCGGTGTGCTATTGCAAAGTCGATTAAAGAGATGTGTGGTCTGGAAGATGCTGGTAGAGTTGGGACACATGTACATAAAGAAGCAAGCAAAAGTCGTGTTGACAGGGATGAATGCGATGTGCAAAAGATTCTGCACACATTCCAATCTGGACTCATCAAGAACCCGTTTGAACGTGATGATGAAGATGATGCTGCCGTCCTTCCACTGTCCAACTTGGATACAGGCGTCATTCTACCAGATGACATTGCTGACAACATTCTTAGTGCTACAGCCAAAGGGAAACAGAGTATGCAGCAATTTCTTTTGAAAAGGTTGAACAGTTCTCAAACTAGTTTTTGGGAACCGATCGAGAGATTGAGTACACCAACTTTCAATTCGGCCATTAAGTCTTCTACAACTAAAACCAAAGATGTATTACCAACAGGAAACAGCGAAAGAGAAATCTTTGGGCGTTTACTTGTCGTGGCAAGAAACAGAGATGTGGACCTGAAGGACGTATTGTCATACGAGCTATCACGTGTACCCATGGCCCTTGCCTACCCTGACGGCTCTCTGAGGAAAACTTCAAAAAGTAATCTAATGCCGCATCTTGAGCAAGTTTCAAGTCCATCCCAACTCCCAATGTCTTCACTAGCTACTGCTGTTATGGTTGATGCTATGGCTCTTATACACGTAATTAAGTCTGCAGGTGCAACCACTTTCGGTGATTTGGCCGTACGATACTCTGATGTCATTACCAAGTACTTAACCTCAAATAGCTGCACAAGATTAGACCTTGTATTCGACCAGTATCTTGAAAAGTCAATAAAGGCAGAGGAACGTATTAGAAGAGGTCCTGTAAGTTATCTTGAGGTAACCATTCACAGCCCATCAACACCGGTTCCAAAACAATGGTCCAAGTACATGAGCAATCCTTTAAACAAGAAGAATCTAGCTGAATTCCTATGTAATTCACTCAAAGAATCTATGAAAGAAAAACTACTTCACACTCAGACTGTTGTCTTAGCCGGAGGGTTTAGCGATGGAAAGGAAGCTGTCAGAGTAACTCAAGGAAGAGAGGTTAGCATCGCTGAATTGCAGTCGGACCATGAAGAGGCTGATACAAGGCTGTTACTTCACGCTAAGCATGCTGCAGTATCGCATCCTCGTATTGTCATACAGTCTCCTGACACAGATGTGGTATTGATAGCACTGTCACATTTCAGTGAAATTCAATGTCAAGAGATGTGGATAAAGACCGGTACCAAAGAGCAGCAAAGGTTTATTCCTATACACAACATCCATTCGTCTCTTTTGTCCAACACTCAGTCAATTAATGGCTGCTTTCCATTCAATAACTGGATGTGATAGCTGCAGCAGCCTGTTCGGGATTGGAAAGTCCACAGCCTGGAAAGTTCTAACTAGTGACCGGATTATCCAACAGCATCTTTCAACACTGGGCGATGATTTACCAATAAGATTGTCAACTGTAACATCAGCAGAAGCCTTTATTTGCCGGCTTTATTCCACGGACGGAAAAAGACTGGAGCACACTGACGAAGTCCGCCATTACTTATTTTGTCAGAAAAACAGCACTGACAAACTTCCACCCACGTCTGAAAGTGTTGTGCATCATATCAAACGTGCAAACTTTCAAACTGCTGTTTGGAAAAAGTCACTGGTGGCCATGCAGAACCTCCCGTCTCCTCAAGGTAATGGCTGGGAAGTAACTGAAGAGGGCCAGCTGAAGCCTGTTTTAATGACACGTAGCCCTGCACCGACCAGCATAATTGAGCTTACTCGTTGCCAGTGCATTCGTTCCGAATGTAAAAAGAACTGTTCATGCAAATTAAACAATCTGGTATGTACTGAGGCGTGCCGTTGTATGGCTGATGATACTAGATGTGGTAATTTAATCGCTCACATAAATCAAGTACCTGACGACGACTCTTCCGACGACGAGTCAGACATTTAAGCCGATAACTTCCGTCTTGTACATATTACTTAAAACATAGTCTCCTTCGCAGCCTACCCTTTTGTCGGGCTTCCTGTTCTTTTGGGAGGGACAGGAAGCCCGACAAAAGGGTAGGCTGCGAAGGAGACTACTTAAAACACGACATTTATGGAACAAAACATTGTACATATACATTTAATCTGTAAATTATTACATTTCGGAAACCGGCTTGCATGTATATCAAATTATTTATATTTTAACATTTAAGATAGATTTTGAGGAACAAAACATTGTACATATCAGGTAAATACGACACGTAAGGTTTTAACGTCGAACAAAACTTTGTAAATATAAAGTAAAAATAGTAAAGCAATACTAGTAATTATATTCCTGGCTATGACCAAAGTCACGTGACCTATTACGTGATCCAGTGATACACGTTGACAAACACTTTTATGAAAAACAGTTGTAAGTATTATTTTGTATCTAGGCTAATTTCTTGTGATTTTATGTAAATATTGATGAAAAAAATACTCAGCCTCGTTTTCATGTTAGCGTGCGTGCAAACTGTACGCGAGCGGAAAACTCTCATAATTTGGCTTAATTTGAGTACTTTGTTTAATTTTTTTTAACTTAAATGTATTTCTTGATACCTGATGTATACTTAACCAGCATTATTTGTAAAATATATCATTTTCAATACTGCTAAATATGTATTGAAAACCCTTCAAAACAGCCAAAACCGCCATTTTTTGTCATTTCCGGTCACATGACAAGTCACGTGATCTTTTCCTTGGAAATTGTGACATGCCAATTAAACATCGTCAAGTTGTTGTTATTCTGACTAAATTTTGCTTGATTTCGTTGTGTTCTTGAGGAGAAAAAAGAACAAACATTGAGCTGCCTCGATTACATGTAAAATGTCGTTTATTCAAATACGACCCCCCCCCTTAAAGGGGGATGGCACCACTTTTCGAGACCACATAGTACCTGTAGTTATAGAATGGACATTGATCTTTAAGAATCAGGCATCAAACCTTTTCTGTCAAGTGGGTTGTGCTAACTCGTTAAATAAGCCTCTTTGGGAAAATAGCTCCTCGACTAGGGGAGGTCCATCGTAGTTTCCATCGTAGTTCTCGTCGCTGATGACCGAAAGAGAACGCAGGCTCTGGGTAGACTGGTTACGAGATTGCTCGCTGGTTACCTACGTAGCACGCAGTTGATGTAATGTATTCATAAAATGTATTGTATTCCATTGTTTCTCGTTCTATTGTAGAGTGCAAGTCACATAAGCATGAAACAATTCTTAACTATGTAGTGCTAAATAAGATTTAGTTATCAACTAACTAAGAATTGAGAACAATGCTACAAAGGAATATAAATAATTGGCATTGTGTTTATGCTTTGTTGAATTCTTAGTTAGTTGATAACTAAATCTTATTTAGCAATACATATTTATAAGAATTGTTTCATGCTTATGTGACGTGCACTCTATTATGTGTTTTGTATTATATCTTTATGAATATATTACATCAACTGAGTGCTACGTAGATTCTCCCGAGATTTCAAACAGTTCAAACAGTCTGGATCTCCAGTCTCGCGCTCTTTCCACAGGGAGACCAAAACGRGAAAAAACTTGCCTGCGGAGGACTGCATGCAGTGAGCGTTGTTAAATTGTCAGCTTGTTTATAAGCAATGGGACAATTTTGTGGCGTTTAAGTCCTTTCAGTATGGATGGCAAATCGAGATATGGGACAAACAGAGTCATTAAAGACAGAAACGTTCTCGAAAGAAGTGATTCCAAACACAACGAAGATGGTCCGGAGCCTTGTGTATCGCCGAACGATGACGGTGAGCTCACAGTTCCAATATATTAAGCTTAAAGCTTAAGTAAATTGTTAGCTTAGCTTCACTAAAGCTTATCTTATTTGTCCATGGGACAAATGACAAAACATGCAAATATGAATTTTGAATCATTATGTTAACTAAAGAGCTGTGTTTATATTCGACATCATTAATAATTTACTTGAAGTTTTTAAAGCTTACAAGCTCACTTGATGATAATCTTCATGCTTCAGCGAAGCTCTCAACGGTTGTTTATAAAGCGCGATTATGAGCTCGTCCGGATAGCCTAAAAGGATGAGGAGGCAAATTTTCACTTCAATGAATATGAATTTTTCCCAGCAACAATTAGAACAGCTGTTGACTTTCTGACCGTTCAGGAATACAGTCTTAAAAAAAGACTGATGCATCAAATGAGTCCAAATATCGCTTTTGTGCTGTTAATGCGTCTGTCAGCGGCTTCCCAATGGGGACGACCCCCCAGCGACCCAGGGAGATTTGTCAAAATGCTCCATAAAACCTAATGAAACTCCCGTGGGTGGGAGGCAGAATAGGAATGACAATTGTCCCCATAGGAGGGKGGATTATTGGGAAACTATTACAAATAAATTTCTGAACGACTTTGTGAACTGCAACACTATTTGAATGCTTTTTCGCTACATTCTGTAAATAGTGATAGGGAAAAAAATGAAGCTGGAAATGTTATCAAGGAAATCTAAGATAATTAGGAAAATTATGAAACTCAGAAATAATAGAGTACAAACTTTCCACTATTTACTACAAAATAGTGTTAATKAAACAATATAAAACAATAGAATTAGCATAATTTAGCAGTATTTAGTGGTATTTATGTTGCACAATTTTAGTGTACTCTAGTTTAATTCATTGATACTCTTTAATTAGCCCAGGGTAGGCCCTTGGATAAAATTCACAATCACAAAAGCAAAATAATCCCGCATCCCCTTGGGCAAAAAAAATGTCTTACAATCAGTAAAAAAGCTCCTCGYTTCCCCTGGGTTCCCAGGGCAGGGATTCTGGAATTATGCGCTGATGCGGACCCACATAATCGGTCATTCTCCGCATAATCCTGCATAATTTGTCACAAAATCAATATGTATGTTATCTATCTTGCGTCTGGCTTGAGTATTGTTTTTTTTTCCTTTTTCTATCGTCATACAAAGTACTAAAGTATCATACAAAACAACGCCATACGTGTGCGCGATCGACGCCATTTTGTTTTTATGAATTTCATTTAGTGATGGGTTTTCTGTGGCTCGGCCCAGGTTCCAGCAATTAGTGGTTTCCAAGATTTGCTTTCTTTTTTAGCTAATTGCTTTTATTGGAAAGAGTCATTTATCAATAATGCGCATTAWATATATGTTATTTACCTGCTTGGAGGTCCGTCTAGGAAAACACTGCCCAAGGTCTCGACAGTACGGAACGAGCGCAGCGAGGGCAGTGTTTTCCTATACGGACCAATCTATAGCCGGTAAATAACATTTTTATTTTTTTTATTTGTATTTTATGCAACTTTGCTCGCAGCCTAGCTACGGGATACCGTCGGACCGGGCAGATCCTGAAAAATCGGACCRCGCRCTAGCCRATCACAGTGCGCGAATGACTAGGATACCGGACCGAAAAAAAATACAGAAACAAAATAACTGAGTTTTTAAACGAAATTAGTAATATTTTAGGTTTTAAGGATGACGTTTTCGTGCATAATTCCGCATAATTTGATTTTTTCGCGCATAATTCCAGAATTCCTGCCAGGGGGTCACACCCGGGAGAAGCCACTGATCTAGATGCATTAAGCAACAGTCCCATTAAAGCCACTATGCAGTTAAACAGTTTTTGTGAACGTTCTGTACTGTACAGTATTTTATTTATTTCTTCATTAGAACATATTTCTTCTACACAGATAACCCCTCTTTTCATACTGACATTTTCTATTTAGAGTTTTGTATTTTTAATGTATTTATTTATTAAAAAATGGGCTAGAAATCAAAAGTAAGTGGTCCTTTTGTAGAAGGTGAGCTATAAAAATGTACTAGATTACCTGCGGGGGTGGTGACTGTCAYCATTCTGTATGTCAAGGGATAGGAATTAGTTGATTGCGACCAGGCACAAAACAATGGCCATGTGACTGGTCACTAAAATATATAAGTTTGTTYTGTTTGGTTGTACARCATCAACATGATTTGAGGAAGATGTTTGYTACCTATCAATTGGATATGAGGGGGRAGTGTGAAAATAAGAATCTTCAGGAACATATAATTTGTTGCAGTGAATCTGTTACTTGGGTTGCAATCGGCTTCAGTGTTTTCTTTCCATGTCGTCTGCGCAGCAATTGGGCACAACCCCTGGGCAATGGACCTTTCCAAGATTTGCATAAATGAATTGATGGTGCAATAAACATTCACTAATCACAAGCTCTGCTTTTGCAAACCTGGTTACCCTTGATGACTTTCGTATGCTCAAAAAGGCTATTGATTTTTGTACTATGTAAACTGAGGATTAAAACTAACTGCATAAATGCCAGAATAAAGAAATCACAATGAACCTGAAATCAAGAATCTAAACAAGAGAATGATTTATACAGAGCAGTTGATTGTGATCAACAAGAAAGGCAATGAATAATCTATCYTGGCAAAGCAATCAACATTGGTCTGTTATATCCGTGCTGGTGTATCTGTGCAAATATTTCAGGAGGAGCTGACGGTTTCCTGGGAGAAAAATATCTGTTCTTATGTCCCAGCCATCTGTAAGTCACAACCGGTTTCCAGCGAGAAATTCAGGAAAAAAGAACTCTTTAGGGAAGGAATCCTTCCTAATAATTTTTGCCAGGAAAATAAAAATTTCTTAACTGAAAGAAATATAAGCAATTTTTGACCATAAAAATGTTATATAAGACTTTTTAAACGTTTGCCAGGAACAAACTAATTTTAAAGAAGGAAGGCCGCCACATTTCATTGTACCTCAAAATCCCTTTCCCAGGAAAAGATTCGTACAAGAACAGTTATTTACAAGAACAGAGCCCGTCGGCTCCTCCTGATATTTATCGTCATTGAGTGTTTTACATATGTACCTTTCTATTATTGTGGGTTTTAACACTTTACTGTTTTTTAAAGATTATCTTCTTCAAAAAGAAAAGCACCTAACATGCCATCTTGGTACAAAATGGAGAAGTGCTGCCCTTGGTGTTTCTTTTACATCAATTGTGTTTACACTTATAATTGGACTGACTGCTTTTTGTAAGTGCTCAAGTGTTAACAAGCCAATATAATGAGAGTAGATATTTAATAGAATATTAGCTTGGCAAAGTATTATTGGATATGTGAGTTTCTGAAAGAAAATTGGGTTTAAATAACTACTGGTATAATATTACTAATTTGTATATAACTTAGCCAGATCTTTAATTCTTGCATACGCAAAGCTTGAAATTGACACTGTTCAAAGTTGACAGACTCAATATATAGCAAAGGTTTTAGTGTTTAGGATATACAAAATAGAATAATGTCTACTAATTTTTAATTTTATTAATATTACTTTTTTATTCGATTGACATAAATAATGAGCACCTAAAATATTTCTGGAGTGTGTGTAATGATGTAACAATTCTCACAAAAGCAGCCTATATATATATGGACCTAAAATTCAGCAACAGTTTATTTCTTTTATTTGAATACTTGTGATGTATACTTTTTATCATGCAGCAATATCAAGCATTGCAAAAAGCTCTGCAGCTTTTGGGTTTGCGGTAAGTGAAGCATATTGCATGATGGTATTTTTTTGAGATACATGTATACTAAGGCATCAGATATAAAATGTCAGCTAAACAGTTTGATTRAGAATAAAAAGGCAAGAACAAGAGACACATAACACTGTTACATTACCCAATCAGGAAGCAGGCAACTTCGACTGCCACCCTGAAGCTGATCAAGAGAGAAGGTTGAGAACTGCAAACKTTTTTAGCTATAACACAATATGACTGCATAATATGACTTTAAGMCACAAGTTTTGCTCTTTTCAACTTTTTGTTATGTGAGCCATTTCAAAACATTTTCTACATGATTTGTCATTTTTTCAACCAGATAATTTTGACTTTTTTTGCAGTACACCCCAGATGCATTGGATTAGACTGTTATTATTAATACATTGGTTAAATGTATTCAATTTCTTTTTCTTTCAGTTTGATTCCTTGTTGGATGTCATTACCACAATAGTTGTTATTTGGAGGTTCTTTGGCGAAAAAGGAGAATTTTACTCATGGGAAAAGGAAAAAAGGTCTGGTCTTGTAAAGGAGTTAACCATTTTTAACGCACTTTCTTTGAAGTCAGATGTTCACATATGAATTAGTTTAATAATTGGAGCTATTAGCAATTTTTGATTTTGATTTAATAAGAGACGGGCACGATTAAATTGTTGAGGCCTTGGCCGGTTTGAAGTGGCTTCTTGATTCTAGTAATATAAGACATTCCACGTAGTATGCAATACTACTTGCCAAAAGCCGTATTTTGCTTGTTTGCCATGCAAGAGATTTTTTCCTTTAATACAGGCGAATTTTTGTTTTTATAAACGCCCTCACAAATCTGGTAGAGATGACCTACAAAAAAAGTATTAAAGTGGAGCTGAAAATAACAGCCTCGCSCGTCTTTCATGTTTTTGACACTGTAATGATACCACACGTCTAGTCACTTTTCGAGTGCAGCATTGGTGTCATTTAAACAATGTTTATATTTTCAACGCATAAAAATTTGAAAATTGGCTYAGTTGCCACAATCTATTCAAAACTGCGTCAGTGAATATCCTTAAAATTAGTGGTGCTAAGAGTCACCGTCAGCATCAGCATAAGTCATGTTRTGCATWCTTTTTTTAGGTCATTTACAAATCAAGTTGTTGAAGACCCTACGATGCAGTCATAAACCTACTCAGCTGATCACTGTATTTTTTCATAGGGCTTGCCGAATGATTGCCGTTTGTTTTCTTATATCTGGAATTGGTATATTTGTAAGAGCTGTAAGAGCTCTCGTTGTTCAACGCCATCCTCACGAGGTACTCAGATTCGTACGGTTTGTTGATTTAAACCGAATGAATAAAGTTCTGTTTTCAGATCCACAGTGAATACGTAGCTTAAGTCAGCGAATGTACACCGAAACCTATGATTGTATTTTGTGACTTTGATCATACTTTTTCACTCGGTGTATTTCTGCGCACGGGTAGCCCAAGCTCTTTACTTGATATAAGAGAATGNAGAATAATGTCTACTAATTTTTAATTTTATTAATATTACTTTTTTATTCGATTGACATAAATAATGAGCACCTAAAATATTTCTGGAGTGTGTGTAATGATGTAACAATTCTCACAAAAGCAGCCTATATATATATGGACCTAAAATTCAGCAACAGTTTATTTCTTTTATTTGAATACTTGTGATGTATACTTTTTATCATGCAGCAATATCAAGCATTGCAAAAAGCTCTGCAGCTTTTGGGTTTGCGGTAAGTGAAGCATATTGCATGATGGTATTTTTTTGAGATACATGTATACTAAGGCATCAGATATAAAATGTCAGCTAAACAGTTTGATTRAGAATAAAAAGGCAAGAACAAGAGACACATAACACTGTTACATTACCCAATCAGGAAGCAGGCAACTTCGACTGCCACCCTGAAGCTGATCAAGAGAGAAGGTTGAGAACTGCAAACKTTTTTAGCTATAACACAATATGACTGCATAATATGACTTTAAGMCACAAGTTTTGCTCTTTTCAACTTTTTGTTATGTGAGCCATTTCAAAACATTTTCTACATGATTTGTCATTTTTTCAACCAGATAATTTTGACTTTTTTTGCAGTACACCCCAGATGCATTGGATTAGACTGTTATTATTAATACATTGGTTAAATGTATTCAATTTCTTTTTCTTTCAGTTTGATTCCTTGTTGGATGTCATTACCACAATAGTTGTTATTTGGAGGTTCTTTGGCGAAAAAGGAGAATTTTACTCATGGGAAAAGGAAAAAAGGTCTGGTCTTGTAAAGGAGTTAACCATTTTTAACGCACTTTCTTTGAAGTCAGATGTTCACATATGAATTAGTTTAATAATTGGAGCTATTAGCAATTTTTGATTTTGATTTAATAAGAGACGGGCACGATTAAATTGTTGAGGCCTTGGCCGGTTTGAAGTGGCTTCTTGATTCTAGTAATATAAGACATTCCACGTAGTATGCAATACTACTTGCCAAAAGCCGTATTTTGCTTGTTTGCCATGCAAGAGATTTTTTCCTTTAATACAGGCGAATTTTTGTTTTTATAAACGCCCTCACAAATCTGGTAGAGATGACCTACAAAAAAAGTATTAAAGTGGAGCTGAAAATAACAGCCTCGCSCGTCTTTCATGTTTTTGACACTGTAATGATACCACACGTCTAGTCACTTTTCGAGTGCAGCATTGGTGTCATTTAAACAATGTTTATATTTTCAACGCATAAAAATTTGAAAATTGGCTYAGTTGCCACAATCTATTCAAAACTGCGTCAGTGAATATCCTTAAAATTAGTGGTGCTAAGAGTCACCGTCAGCATCAGCATAAGTCATGTTRTGCATWCTTTTTTTAGGTCATTTACAAATCAAGTTGTTGAAGACCCTACGATGCAGTCATAAACCTACTCAGCTGATCACTGTATTTTTTCATAGGGCTTGCCGAATGATTGCCGTTTGTTTTCTTATATCTGGAATTGGTATATTTGTAAGAGCTGTAAGAGCTCTCGTTGTTCAACGCCATCCTCACGAGGTACTCAGATTCGTACGGTTTGTTGATTTAAACCGAATGAATAAAGTTCTGTTTTCAGATCCACAGTGAATACGTAGCTTAAGTCAGCGAATGTACACCGAAACCTATGATTGTATTTTGTGACTTTGATCATACTTTTTCACTCGGTGTATTTCTGCGCACGGGTAGCCCAAGCTCTTTACTTGATATAAGAGAATGAATGTGAATCTATATAAACAGTTGATTTATGGCATAAATATACAATGAATTTCGCTATAACTTATTGTGTGCATTATTATAGCTACTGGTAATCTCTGGAGGGTAAGAGGGGGGAAAAATCATAAAAGTTCTGAAAATCGCTCCAGAGATTACCAGTAGCTACAACAATGCACACAATAACTTATAGCGAAATTTATTGTATATTTATGCCATAAATCAACTGTTTACATAGATTCACATACATTCTCTTATATCAAGTAAAGAGCTTGGGCTACCCGTGTTTCTTCGACGTCCTCCCTCAGTAACTCAGCTGTTATATGGTTAATGTGCTCGTTACCTGCCGTAAATTTTCTGTAAATCTGTGCTTGTAATAAGCTTGGACACATCCTTGTACCTCTTACCGATGGAGATTTCCAGTGTACATGTATGAATCTTGTATGTGCATAAGACAAAAAGTGTAGTCCCTACTAATCCTCTTGTCTTATCTCTCACTAAAGCTTAACCCAAACCGCGCCCTAATGAAATGCGCAATTATGAGTGATAATGCTTTGTTTATMTTATGCTAAATGTGGAATCTAAATCTAAGTTAATATGCTAAATAATCGAATAAAATATTACTAAAAAATCACTATAATTTTCTCCTCSACAGTTAGGAAATTTTTATTTTCCTGGCAAAAATTCTCAGAAAGTATTCCTTTCTCTGGAGAGTTCTTTTTTCCTTAATTTCTCACTGGCAACCAGTTGTGAGTTATGCACCTATCAATGTTTTGCCCCAGGATCGGGGGTGGGCAAATCCCGGGAAATTTGACATTTTAGATTTTTAAAATTCAAAATCCCTACCCCTGGTTCATTGGTAAAACGCTCTAGTTGACTTTTGGTTAAACTAGTTTCCAGGATTACTCACCATTCAAAATGGCACCAAACAGTTTCACATTTACTTTATAAAAAAACGATCAAAAGTCTTGTATTCACCTTAACCTGTTCTCCTTTTAATTAGTTTGTTGGCATTGAAATAATTGCTGGCGTAAGCTTAGTGTTGTATTCCATTTTGTCATGGTCAAAGATTGTCATCGCCGACAAAATATCAAGCAGTTCTCTTAAAACTGATGGTGAGTGAACGCCACTATTAATCAAACTATACCCCCAAAAGGGTTATAATACGTAATTTTGCTTCAAATACCTTATTTACTCGAATAGACGCCGCCCTTAAAGCTCAAAATATTAATAGACGCCGTCCCCGAATAGACGCCGCCCTCAAATAAACGCCGCACTTAAAGCTCAAAATATTAATAGACGCCGTCCCCGAATAGACGCCGTATCTGGTGATCAATTTGAGGAAATAATGATGCCAGCAATGGGGATTTATTTTCTTTGAGAACATTTTTATTTTGAAGTGACTGTACTTTTTTGCCCTCAGCAGTTGTGAGATTCCGACCACGAGAACATTGMTGTTGAAATAGACGTTTAACTCTGTTTAAAATCATAAATTGAATCGACAAAATGAACACGAATCGTTACTGTTTGTTAGTAAAAAGATACAATAAAAMGTACGGTGTGTAGTACTGAATAAAGTGTTTTTAATAAACGCCGCCCTCGGATAAACGCCGCACCTGGATCGTGAGAAATGAAATAAACGCCGCGGCGTCTATTCGAATAAATACGGTATGGAAGAAATATAATTTTGGAAATGGGAATATGTAAACGTACTTGCACATGAACCTTTTAGAAAATCACTTTTATCCGAAAGGTAACACACTGCCAAGAACTTCTGTTAAGAATGTAATAGATTTTGATTTTAATTTTTCCTGCTTGAAGAGCTCAAATCATCAATCACAGTAATAATTGAGAGCTGAAAATGTTTTTTCCAATATAACAAAAAGAATAACGTCCTCTTTCATGATTTTGTTTTTTAAATCATTCCCTAGTAGACGTCACTTCATTTGCATTTTCTAAGTTTCAATTGCCCATAAYTTAGAAAATGCAATTAAAAATTTCTTTCTTCATAGATGTACTTAGCAACATTTTCTCTTTTGGATGAGAATGAATTTCTAATGGTGTCATGTGCACTTGAAGGGTTTCAGTAAGTGGGAACTTCTTTGAATTTCAATAACCTCATATTGTTGKTTTTTTTAACTTGCTCTTTCTCTAACAGTCGATGATGATTAAGCTTAATGAACGACTCCCTCTCACCTATAAACGCTAGGATTTACTGCTCGAGCTGTCCATTAGCATGATGGCGCAATTTTAGTACAACTACCAGAATGCTGTGTGTATTATCTTTGTTATTCAGATTGTAATTGCCTTTGGAGAGGGAATTATTTCTGATATTACAAAGGAATGTTAATATATGTGCATGTTATGTAATAGMCGTATAGCAAGATTTTGTTTGAAATGATAGGTTACAATTCATTAGCTGGAGCGGTGCTGTCTTTAGGGATGCTTATGAGTTCTTTGGCTTACACTTGGAACAAATCAATCTGGTTTTTGGACGCATCAATTGCACTTTGCATTGCATTAGCACTAGCAGTATTTGGAATAAGGTATCTGTAGACGTCTAAATATATGTCACTTTTMATTGTCACTCGTTCTGTCTCCATTTACTCCAATAAACCCTTTTAGCGATCTCTTTTACGCTGTGTTAGCCTCAAAACCATGCAATAAATTCTTTTATTCACAACAGCCCGTGCAAATGCAAGAGATCTGTGAGTATAGAAGACAATGGAAATAGTTTGAAATCTCACGAGTTTTATCTACATTTCTGAATATTTTAGCACACAATTGAGGCTAACACAGCGTAAAAGAGATCGCGAAACTCGACTATT